ATTTCTCTTTTTACAATCATCAATATTATTTTATTTATTCGTGCATTTTAATCGAGTGTAAATTGTTTAAGCTTATAAACAAATTTTTTTATGCTTGAAAAAAAAAAAAACCTTAAGGAAAATTATAGTAATAATAATAATAATACGTTTATTATAAAAAAAAAATTGAATCGATTGAAATTAAAAACATGTAAAATTCATTGAGATTTAAAAAAAAAAAAAAATTGAGTATCATATGAGGAGAGATCATATTAAATTCGATAAAATGTGGTGCCAATATTTAGCTTATTGTAAAGAAATTTAAATACATTTTACGGGAATAAATTATATAATAATAATAATATTAATACTGGCAAAAGCTAAAAAAATTAAAAAAAATAAAATAAATATTTCATAAGGCGGTACTCTTGTTCGCAATAAAAAAAAAATATTAATAATAATAATAATTTGACAATAAAAGTTAATTAATTAAGTATTAATAATTGACAGTAAAAAAAAAAAAAAAAAAATTACTTTTTTTTGCTTTTGCCGAGAGTAAGCGTGTGATGACTAGATGATAATTGATTTAAAAATTGTTGTTTTCTCCTGTTAAATTCAATCATTTCATCCTCAAGCTTCTTCCTCGATTCTTCAACTTTTTTCTTTTCCTCGGTATGATCTTTTTTCAATTTGTCAAATTTTGTGTGAAGCTGTAATAATTTCATTCACATAAATGATTGTTGTATTTATTAGTCATTTTAGAAAATCAAAAAATAATACATGATTCACTTTTAAATCTTTCCCTTCTCCCCGCCCTCACCCCCCCCCGATAAAAAAAAATATTACCTCTTTTTCGGCTTCCTTTAATTCTGCTTCCTTTTCCCTGACTCTAACTACAAACATTTGCCTCATTTCCTCTTCTTTCTGTTGTAATTCTTGCATGTGATTATTTCTCTTTGCTTCAAAAGCATTTTGAAAACTAAGAGGTTTGTTTTCGGCATCAACGTCGGAAAATCCCATTTGTTCGAGTCTTTTTTTCCTGTAGGTTTCATAATGTTTTGTATGCGTTTTTTCTCTCATATCTTCCATATTCGTACGAATTAACATTTCTCTTAATTTCACGAAATCACAATGACCCTCATTTTCAACTGAAAAAAAAAAAAGAACTAAAATATCAAGTAATAATTTTTTCAATTGACAATTATTCGTTTTATTTCTTTTTACACATAAAAAAAAATTCAATATTTACGATCAATGATATTATTTACGTAATTATATAAGATAACTTTCACTTAAAAATTATCTTGTAAATATTTAAATTTATCCCGAGTTTTAATAAAGAGATTGATTTTAATATTATCACAAAGAGAAATGTTAAATAAAATAAATATAAATATTTACGATTTTTTTTAAGTTGAAATTAAAATTGATCGTTCATAAATCGTGGCTTATCTATATTAATTTTATTATTATTTATTAAAAACCTTGAGTTGTTTTCTTTTTTTTTTTTTTGTTGTAGAAAAAAAAAATGAATTAAAACACTTCCACGTGTGAAAAAAAAATTTTTAACTCAATAACATTCATCTTTTAGAAATAAAAGTTTAAATAATAAAAATGGTAAAAAATTAATAATAATATTAATTGAATTTTTAATGGCCGGTGGTAAAAAATATGTTATTGATAAATAAATATGTTTAATGATACCTTGTACTGTACCCCATGGATATTGTCTAGATCTTGTCATTTTGTTTCCAATTTTAACAAAATCTGTACTTCCGACAACAGCAAAAGGAACATGAGCGTTCATGGAAGCATTTGTTTCAGCAACATTTTCATCATCTGTAGGAAATTGATAAATATGTACTCCATTGTTTTGTAGTTCTCCCATAATTTTTGTTTTAAATTTTTGCAATTCTGTTTTTGAAATAGTATCAGCTTTTGCAATTATTGGTACTATGTTAACTTTGGCATCCAGTTTCTTCATGCAAACAAGATCGATTGATTTTAAACCATGACCAGTTGGACAAATGAAATAAAGGCAAACATGAATTCTTGTGTCATGATAAGTTGATAAAGATCTTTTTATTTTAAGTTCCTCTTGCAAATATGCTTCAAATTGTGCATCAATATAATCCACTACAGCTTTAAATGAATTTTCTTTATTGATTTGATCTCCATAACCCACTGTGTCAACTATTGTTAACTTAAAAAAAAAAATTTTTTTTTTGAAAATCTTCAACACTTTAAAAATCAGTAATACATGCCTCAAAATATAAATTAAAAGATAATAAAAAATCTTTTAAAATTAAATTTAAATTTTATTTTTGTATGTTGCTTGTTAGAAAATTAAATAATAAAAACAAAGCATCACCAAACACAAAACAATATTTTATATCTCATTAGTAAAATTGAATTTTTATACAATTTTCAAGGCTATTTAAAAATTTATCAATATAAATATTGTTATCTATTAGTTATACCCTTTTTAATATAGAAAATATGAGTGATACATTGAGCAAATATTTAATAAGAAAAAATTAAAAACATATGATACCTTTAGTCTAACATTGCTTTCTTGTAACTCATAAGTGTGTGCTTTCAATTTGACAGTGGTCAAATTATGAGGACTTGGTGTTGACTCAAAACTAGTATTAAACAATGAATCCATTAAGGTAGATTTTCCCAAACCTGTTTCCCCTTTTATAAGACAATAAAAAAATATAAAAAAATGACTTCAAAAAAACAAATAATAAGCAATATTTTAAAAATCATTTAATTTACCTACCTATGCATAATATGTTAAAAATAAAACCATTTTGAACAGATTTGTTCACCAATTGATCCGGTAAAGTGTCAAAGCCAACATGTCCAGATAATTTGAGATTTCTTATACTAGCTTCCACCTCAGCGGTCTAAAATTTTTTTAAAAAATTTATTATATTCATTGACATTAAAGTCAAACTTTAAAATGCCACATGCACCCCACCCAAACAGCGTATTTTGGTAAATACCGGTTATGTTAAAGAATAAAATTTCAAGACTTACGAGGTAAAAAAAAAAATACTAAACATCACGGTAATAATATTTTATTTAATGTAAAAAATTACTTTTTAAAATTTAAAGCTCTACAATGCACGAAAATAAATGTAAAAAAAATAAAAATAATACTTACGTTAATTTTTTCAGTTTTAACGGCCGCCATTTACTCCGTGATTCATAGAGGAACACCACGAAATTCAAACAATAACGAAGGAATGAAAACATTTTGTGTTCAGTTTGCGTGAAAATAAATAGATGGTTCAACGTTTGCTGCGCTCTACTGTCACTTTCACCTTTGGAAACAAAAAAGAGCACAAATAAAACAAGCTGTGGTGTTAAGAACAAGTTCGCCATTTTCTCTGTTTTTATGAAAGTGGGTCTTTTGGCTAGCTGGAAATTTACAAGTGGTTAATATAATTTCTTAAAATTTTCTTTTAAAACCGCATAAACTCATTTTTTTATATGTTAAAATATGAAATTTTTTTTTTCGTGGTCGGTTATAATTAAAATTCAAGTTTTCCCATTTTCCAGTTGAGCTGAAAAAATGATCAAAATGGAAGAAAAATATGTGATGTGATGCTGGTGTCGTCTAATGGTTTTATTTACTTTTCGGAAAATTTTCTTTTCTGTCAGGGTTAAGAATTAACATTTTTTTAATAATTAATTTGTACAAATACAAAATAATAATTAGGAAAAATAACGAAAATGAGTTCAAAGACTAATATACCGTCGGACAAGGTAATTTTTGTTTTAATTTTTACTTAATTTATTTTGTTTTTATGGGGGGTTTTTTGTTATCATATAATTAATCGATGAATATTATTATGTTTAAACTTATTACTTTACATGTAAGTATGTACATTTACGTGAACGCATTTGACTGGTAGTGACATTTTTATTACCAAAATTTGCCCTACTTCTTTTATTAGGTACTTGGTCATTGAGGATTTTGGATTATTATTTTGTATGTGTTTATTATGTGAGGACTGTAGTTTTAGAAATTTTATCATAATTTTAATGCACACACTTGTTTAAACTCTGCATCTTTATTAAATAATGAAAAAAAAAACATAGTTTACATGAAATATACATAAATTTGTTTTAGTATATATAATTACTAATAATACTATGTAAGAAATTTATAAATATATCTTTAAGTTTCTCATTTTCATATATTACATTTAAGGTTCTTATAAATTCAATTAAAACATTTTATTTATAACAAGTGATGTATTATAATATTGCTTTTTACAGATTTCATTTTTTAAAAAAATTTTTTTATTATCAAAACTCAATTTACTACTAAAGATTTTAAATATATATATATATATATATATATATATATA